AAAGAGTAATATTATTCTGAGCAATAAAAATATCAACAACTTAAAAGCATAAGTGAATCTCATATAATATTTTAATTTTATAATTTTGAGATTGGAAAAAATAATCATAAGTAAAAACTTAAAATTATGATAAATCAGTAAAATTTATGAGTGTACCAATTCGTGTTGGGCTTGCATGTCATTGTTTTAAAATATTGTCTTTAATCATAAAGAAATAAAAGAATAACACAACAATCCCATGGAATTTGTGAGTTCATAATTTACACGATTTAAAGGTATTTTAACTATTTTTTCCACTAAACTTAATTAAGAGGTCAAGTATGCGGATATGGTTGAAGGGTAAAAATTTTCTTTGCCAAGGAGAAGATGCGGGTTCGGTTTTCGCTATCCGCCCAAGATTCAAGATAAAGTAATTTTTTTACTATTTCTTATTTAATTTCATAAATAGCATTAAATATTTCCTTAAATTAAGGATTTGGTATAGTTGACCGTGATAGTGTAGTGATTCTATCCCTCCCCTACGTTTTCTTTTTCCTTCCAACCCCAAAAAGAGAAAGGCGGGAATTAAATGTGATTTTGGTAATTGGGACATGTTTTCTTAAACCTCTCATAAGACCCATATTCTGGCTTTTAGCTGGAGAATATCCAACAATAGTTTTCATTGAATGAATAATGGATCCGGATCCTAAAAATAATAATGCTTTGAAATAAGTATGAGTAATCAAATGAAATAAAGCGCTTTGATAATACCCTATACCTAGAGCTAACATCATATAACTCGATTGAGACATTAAGAGAGCAAAATATCAAAACTAGGAATAAAATTTAAATATCAGCACAAAAATATTATATTTGTTGAAATCACCCTAGCAAGTTTGTTGTTTCATTGTTGGTCAGAAAGAAAGTTATTTATATAGTATGTTAATATCATGTTTGATAGCTTTTTAAGTACTTTTGGTGCAAAATTCAGCACATTTAAGTATAATATTTTGTTATAATTTTAATTGCATGCATATTTGATAGGAAGAAAATTATTTATGTACTAAAGTTAGGATAGTCTATATCATGTTTGACCGTTTTTTAATTACTTGTTCATTATTGATTTGACACACCTCTTAAATAATAATAAATAAAATGATTATTTTATTATATCACGCTTTTGAATATAATAAATTTGATATTCTGGAAAATGACTGTAATTAATAATAATATTAAATGAAAAATTAAGTAATAAATTATCTCTTGATTTTCTAAACTAGATAAGTAAATGTGGACATTTATCTTTAGTAGGCTTTTGGACATGAGATTTTGTCTCGTGATTTGAAATCATGAGATGAAATCAACATTTAGACATGTGATTTCATCTCATGATTTGAAATCATGATATAAAATTTTAAAATTCTCAAAAAACCTTGATCTGAAACTCCAAATCATGAGATAGACTTTTTAAAATATAAAATTTAACCCACAAATTAATATTTTGTTAAAAAAAAAAAATCACCATTTTATATGTACCAACCATATTTACCAACTATTTATTTTAGATGTAAACAAAATTTGTTGTTGATATTATTACTCTTAGCAATCTTTGTTAACCATTTATATCGTATATGTGAGAGTATTATATTAAAGAGTAGTACACTATAACTCATGTCCAATTTTACTTTTTATTGAACTAAAGATCGATCAATAAAATATTGTATTCTTTTTTAAAATGGCTTTATGATATTGTATTATATTTTGTTATGAACTTTTACTTATTTAGTAAGATTGTCAAGAATTAAAAAAATTTGAATAGTTTTCACAACGTATGAGGTTTTTATGTTCATGAGAAAAAAATACAACTTAATAATTCCAACTTGAAAGTCCAAACAAAACTTCAACTTCATCTCATATGATATTATGTCATGATTTAATCATGATTTCATCTCGCATGACCGAACGGGCTGTTATTAATAGATAAATAGTTGGTATATATAAAATGGTGGACTTTCTTTTACAAAATATAAACTTGTGGATTAAATTTTGCATTTGAAAAATCCATCTTATGATTTGAAATTTCAAATCAAACTTTTTGGAGAATTTGAGATTTCATCTCATGATTTGAAATTATGAGATGAAATCACATATCCAGACACTGGTTTCATCTCATAATTTCAAATCACGACATGAAATCGCATGTCCAAACACCTACTTTTAGTATATGTGAACATGTAAAAATGAATGGAGGGAGTATGACGTTTGGCTATAATTTCAATTGTATACTCAACATAGNTACTCAACATAGATATATTATTAATACATGCATAACTCTAATAATAACTTTTTGATTGTTGTACAATCCTTTTAAATATGTTTTGATAACAAGGTTTTTTGAAAACAATATCTCTATTTTTATAAATTTTATGTACACAGCACTCTCCTCAGACCTTATTCGTAGAGTTACACTAAATATATCATTACTTTCTCCGTATCAAAATAAGTGGTGTTTTACAATAATCAAGAAGATATTATGATGTTGTTCATGGAGAGAGTTTCACATAATCAAGAACATAGTAAAGAGTTATATCTTTTTATAGATATTTATTCAGGATACATGAGTAAAAATACAAAATATCTGTTTATGTATTTTGTATTATTATTTTTTAATCAATCCTCAATCTTCCTTTATTAGAGGTATATCAATCATTTTTGATACACTTAGATACATAATCCTTTTTGTATTTTTTAAAATTTAGTATACATATATGTATTTCACTCTATTTTTGATACGCTGCATACATATTGAATACTCACAGAAAGAAATGTATATGAAATTATATGATCTATACATCTAAATTATATATTGTATTTTGTATGTTTATTTTAAACTGTCTTATATATTTAGAGTAAAATTTGAATTCCATCTATATTTAGAGTTCTAATAAATATGGAATCTATTGATTATAATGAAGGAGTGAATCATTATAACTGAAAATCATGCTAATTATTTTATTTGAGGCATTTAAAGAATAGAAATACAATACATGACACATAAAATATTATTATATTTTGTAATAGTGAAAATATTGCTACTTAAGCCTAATTTCGATCTAAATGTAGTCATTTCTGTAATTTTCTCATCTTTCTAATTGATTGATGATTGATAATTAGTCTATGATTTGTCCCTATTTTGAGATGATTTTTAATTTTTGTCCCTCAAATTGGTGATCTTTAGTTTTTACCCTTAAGTATTTTTAAATAATAAAAACAGAACAAAAATCTTGAAAATTGTAAATTTTCTATGCAAAAAATGGTGATGCCGGCCAAAAAAATTGATAGAGTGCTCGTCACCAGGCCTTCTAGGCTGGTCACGATCAAAATTTGGGGCCGAACGGAGACAACCAATCAAATCTCGAGACATCCATGGACTAACACACATCGAAAATTTTGAAAATCGCAAATTCTCATTTATGCAAAAAATAGTGATGCCGGCCGGAAAAATTGATAGAGCGCTCGTCACCAAACCTTGTAGGCTGGTCACGATCAAAATTTGTGACCGAACAGAGACGGTCAATCAAATCTCGAGAAATTCATGGGTTAACATACATCGAAAATCTTAAAAAATCACAAATTTTCATTTATGCAAAAAATGGTGATGCCGGCCGAAAAAATTGATAGAGCTCGTCACCAGGCCTTGTAGGCTAGTCACAGCTGAAATTTGGGCCGAATGAAGAAGGTCAATCAAATCTCGAGAAATTTATGGGCTAACACATATCGAAAATCTTGAAAATAAAAAATTCTCATATATGAAAAAATGGTGATGCCGGCCGAAAATTTTGATATAGCGCTCGTCACCAGGCCTTGTAGGCTGGTCACGGCTAAAATCTGGGGCCAAACGGAGACGGTCAATCAAATCTCGAGACATCCATGGGCTAACACACACCGAAAATTTTGAAAATCACAAATTCTCATTTATGAAAAAAATGGTGATGCCGGGCGGAAAAATTGATAGAGCGCTCGTCATCAGGCCTTATAGGATAGTCACAGCCAAAATTTGGGGCCGAACGGAGACGATCAATCAAATCTCGAGAAATTCATGGGCTAACACACACAAAAAATCTTGAAAATCGTAAATTCTCATTTATGCAAAAAATGGTGATGCCAGCCCAAAAAATTGATAGAGCGCTCGTCACCGGGCAATGTAGGATGGTCACGGCCAAAATTTGGGGCCGAACCAAGACGGTCAATTAAATCTCGAGAAATCCATGGGCTAACACACACCGAAAATCTTGAAAATCGTAAATTTTTTTTATGCAAAAAATGGTGATACCAGACGAAAAAATTGATAGAGTGCTCGTCATCAGGCATTGTAGGCTGGTCACAGCCAAAATTTGGGGCCGAACGGAGATGGTCAAACAAATCTCGAGAAATTCATTGACTAACACACATCGAAAATCTTGAAAATCGTAAATTCTCATTTATGGAAAAAATGGTGATGCCGGCCGAAAAAATTGATAGAGCGCTCGCCACCGGGCATTGTAGGTTGGTCACAACCAAAATTTGGGGCCGAACGGAGACGGTCAATCAAATTTCTAGAAATCCATGGGCTAGCACAAACCGAAAATCTATAAGGCCAAGACCAACTTTTTATTTTACCATTTATAAGATTATTTTAACTTAATTTTTTCTCTTTCTCTTGATCTATATGTTTACTCAAACATCATTACGTAAATTCAAATATAAGAAATAATATAGATTTAACTAAAGAGAGTGAATAACAAAAACACTATAATTATGTTATATTTTTATTTTTTTCCGATTATTACAACAGTGAATGCATGTAGATTTTATATCTCATACAGTGAACCTGATTTAAGAAACGCGCTCAGTCATAAATTGCGTTCACCGTATGCGATTCGACTGCAATTTATAAATCGCATTTACAGAATGCGTTTTACAAATTACATTTCTCGCACACGATTAAATTGTTCATCATTTTTATGGTGCATATAGATCGTGTTCTATCAAAGATTTATAATCTTGTTTCGCCAAGGTGTATATAAATCGTGTTTGTCAATGTGATTTATAAGTTTGTATAAGGTGATTTAAAAAAAAATAATTTTCAAATCTTAAATATTAAAACTTCTTATCTAGAGAGACACGTGTTGTTCAAATAAAGAAAGATTTAAGAAAAAAAAATTTAGTCAATTTTAAAGTACTAAATATTATGAGTTCTTACATTTTACAAATACGTAAAGATTTAACAGTTTCAAATTTAATTAATCTTAAAGTCTTAAATATTAAAATAATAATTAATTAGTAAAAATAGTAAATGCCAAGTTTGTCTATTGTACAATCTTTTAATGAGATTATTTCAGGTCAAAATTTAGACCGAACGGAGATAGTCAATC